TCCGGTCATATGCAGGATTCTTGACACCGCTGATGAACATGGGCTTCTGTCAATCTCCAGCTAAACTGAAAAAAACAAAGATCATATGACCGCAATGGAGCATGGAGGACAAAGAGAGACCAGACAGCGAGAGGTGCACTTGAAGAGAGAACATTTATCATAAAACAGAAGCCTGTTTTGTTTGAGGAAGAGAGATGCCCATGACACTGCGCTCAAAGCCTAAGGTTAAACTTGATCCTGAGGCTGGACTTAATGTAGCTGAGGAGCACAGACACTGACAATGCTACATCACAGCCTTAAATCAGCAGGCTAGCTCAGACTTTTTGAAAACACAGCGGCCGGCGCCTCAGTCCACAGGGCAGGGCATTCATTGCCTGTACTCCATATCTATGCTTCACTTTGTTGATTAATTGCAAGCAAAGGAGTGATGAATCAGGGGATTCACAATCATCAGGGGAATCACAATATTCATGGTGGTGTAATTGTCTTTAAGGTTTATTTGTGAGTGTGATATGAAATTGATTAGCTGCTTGTTTGTGGCACTTTGTACTTTGTAGATAGGGTGAAAAGCAAGTGTTTTGCATCAGTGAGAATGTGCATTGTGTTAATTTACTGGATGACTGAGTGTAACTTATGCTTCAGAGCGTGCTGTGGAATGCCAACACAAGTGATTGGTTGATTAAAATGTTCTTTAAGGTTGTTTTGAATGTACAGAACGTCTGTGGGTTCCTGTAACAGGTATTCTGTGGTTTTATGAAGAGTCACACTGGGATCCTTCACCCTGCTGTATCGAAGGAGTACAAATCAATACTTTTCCAGCAAAGAATAAAAATGAACCATGAAAACCTAAAATGTATACTGTTGAATAAAAACGTTAAAAAAAAGATATAAGGAAATCATAGCAATACATGTATCCACCTAACAGTAATAGGGCTGTCATTGCCTAAAGTTTGCAAAATCATTTTAGTGTTTCTCTTGTTTTTCATTAATTGTGTGGACCATAAACTGATGTTAAATAATAAAATGTTTGTCTTTTAGAAAGATCTATACTTTTGAGAACAGAAAATGCTGCAATGTTTATTAATTTACATATTTATTAATGCATGACTGTATTTTTAAAATAGACAGGCTCAATTATTATACCAACGCACTCAGATTAAAAGAATCATGTCATGAGGGTTCATCAATTACATTTCTTAAGGGAACTTACACTGGTGCTTAATAGAAACCTATATTATGGTGTACTTACTGTACTTTTGGAATTACTATTGGTATCAATTCAATAAGGTATTTCAATATTCCATAAGGAAATTGTATCCCATCATGCAGTGAATTGAGTTTAATTTGCCTTCTGTTGATCAACTAATCGCTTCATATTTTCATTTTATTTAAAAAGTGAAAGCACAGATCCACTGCACTTGCCAAACATTTATTGTGTTAAAAAGTGTATGAGGTTCACAAATACAATTCTCTCAAGAAGCAGAAGTTCATCAAAGTGCGACCACATGCCATCAACAACCATGTGTTCCACAGCAGCCCGACACCACAGCAGCAACTTCAGCCAGAGAGGACACCGCAGTAATGGAGCAACTGCAGTCTTTGGCTGCCATGACACCTGCAGAGTATCGGCTTATAATGGCACATGCGTGTGCAACACAGAGGGGGGGATTTAGGTGAAAATGCAGTATCAGTAAAACAGTGAGTTACTTTTTGGAACAGACTTTCATTACAAATCTATTGCTTTTTCTGAGTTTCGTTGCAATGCTAATAACACTGTAATTTACTTTTTCCACTCAAGAAACATGTATTTCCACTGCAGTGGAGAAAAAAAAGTAAATACTGATTCCAAATACTTAAAATGGGCGTTTTTAAAGTTCCTCTTGATTTAAAGCCATGGCTTGAATGTCCAAACCTTTCTGTTAAGCAGCTCTTTGATTAGACTGAGGGAATGGGAATCTGGTGCACTGAGGTGCTTTCAAAGTCTTGCAGTGCGTCTTGGTGAGTGTGGTAGTGCATGGCTACATAGGACTTGGCAAAGGCAAATGTCTGAGAGCTGACAGGCTGCAGGCTGGTGGGGGAGCTGGGCCCTGCAGAGGGACTGCTGTTGTATATGCTGTAGTAGGGCTCAATGCGGGTGTTGATGGGTGTCGAGGTGCTTGGCGGGCGAGGTTTGCGCACACCTGTGGCCCTTGGACTTCCAGCACAGTCCCTGGAGTGACTCGGCCCACAAGCCTGGTCCACCAGCCTCCTCTGTGGCTTGGGCGACAGAACATAGGCTGAGTTGGTCTCATGATGCGAGGATTTATTGCGATTGGCTTCCAGGGTGCCCTTCCCCATCGCATGCAGACGAGTCTTTTGCTTGCAACAGAGAAAGCCCAGTGCCGCCCACTGAATACAGCACAGCACGCGGCGGCGGAGGCCTGCACTGTTGCGCGAGTACACAAAGGGATTGATTCCCGATTTGAGGAAAATGAGCACAAAGCCGCACAGTTCAAACTGGTAATGTGCAAAGTTACTCTCTGGTGACAAAACGTCCTGTGCCAGTGAAACTCCCATCGGCAAGCAGCAAAGCAGCACAGAGAACACAATAACTACACAGGTGACAACAGCCTTAGAGTCTTTGGCTGTGGCCAAGTTCACTGTAGACACCAGTTGACAGCAGGTGGCCCCTTGAGCGGCCCCAGGAACCAGAGGCTGGCTGTTCTTGTTGATGAAAGAGTGTGTCTGGACGTTCTGTAGTTTGTTGTAAGTTTGGTTACGGTACAGAGAAGGGCCTTGAACAGCACACTGCATGCTCTCAAAGCCTGCTGCAATGAGAGGTGGTGGGGGTGGAGGGCATGTGGCATCTACAGTGATGACGGGACATTTCCTCACTTGTGCGTTCTTCCTTAGTGTCTGAGCAATCATCAGGTAGGACACCGACACCACAGCTACACAAAAGGCAAAGTCTGCCAGGTAGACGTACAACACAACCCTGGCCCGTCCACCTCCGAGGCCAAAGTGGGGCAAGCAGGGTCCGTCTCTGCGTGGGTACGCCCGCATTGTGAGGAGGGCGGCCATGGTGAAGCTGGATGTCCACAGCAGGGCAGTGAGGGCCAGCGTGCAAGGGAAGGAGGCGGTGCGGTTGGGCTGCTGCCCCAAAACCATGCGCAGCCTGTGCAAAGCAATGACAGCCACCGTCTCCAGGGACATGATGATAAAGCCTGAGCTGGTCAGGTGGAAGGCGAAGCAGAAACTCTTTGACACACCGTCTCCCCCACCCGCATCCAGGAAGAGCACCAGTGCAAACATGGGGGCAGTCACACAGCAGATGAACAAGTCACAGAAAGAAAGGTTGAGGATCATGAAGTCAAAGTTGGTGCGAAACTTGCGGAACACCGGATCAAAAAAGGACAGGAATACCACAAGGTTGCCATATGAGCCCAGAAAGAAGATGAAAATGAGGAGAAGAGAGCAAAAGGTCAGGGTGGCAGTGTGGATCACGGCCCAGCCTGACTCGCCATGGGTGCCATTGAAGCTCTGCTGTCTCGGCACATCCACCAGGTCTGATGGTGTAGCAGTGGTGTTCATTGTATTATTAACAATTTATAAGGATCCCACAGTCATCAATTTCAGCATTATTCCTCTGTATGGAAGGAGTACATGATGATCACAGTGTCTTCTGCTTCCACCATTGCTGCTACCTTGGTAGAGTGCTACAAAGGATACAAAGTAATATATTAGCTGTGTGCAGTAGATCACGTTAATACATTCTTGTTTGATAAAAGGGATAAATGCAACTTACCATCAAAGGTAAAAAGGTACATTTAATAAGAAACTGCGATGCATTACATGTTAGACACAAGCTACAGTAGGCTATAACTATGCACCACTGCATTCGGCCAATTATTCCTTACTCCCCCCAACACACACACAGCGTCTGTGTATATCAGTGTTGTCCTAATGTATTTAGATTTCAAGCCGTAAAATAGCTTACATAATTTATAAAATGAGAAAATATAACCTACCGTCTGTGATCGAATGTGCATCCATCATGGTTTCATAAAGCCCATCTTGAATTTAAAGCATTATGATAGTAAGTGAACGCACCGCGGCTTTGAAAGATAAAAACGTATTTCAACCAGCAAACCGTCCAAAACAGAGACCTCCATAGAAAAACGCTGAAATAAAATGCGTTTCTTTACATGTCAGTTGATTTTCATCGCGTATAGGGCGAAAAAAGGAGATAGCATTTTCGTTTTCTTGGCGATATATCCATTCTTATACAGGAGCGACGGCCACTGGACGTGCACTGAAAAATGAGTATGAAGTCACTGCCTACGTATCTGGGCATGAGCATAACCACTGCATTCAAGAAGTCCATACGAAACACTCACACCACTTCTCCCCATCTATAAAAACAGAGAGAAATGGCGTTTTCCACAGATTTAATACAAAGTTGGAATATTTTTAATGAGAACACCATATTCCTGTCACGTTAGGTGCAAACGGTTTGTCCCCCCCCCCATCATCCATCAACATACTGTGGCTTTTACGGAAAAATTGTGAACCCTATATACATTTATATTTCATGTTACGTTCAATTTTAGGTTTCATAACGTCGTTCGGAATATATTCGATGAATGCAACAAATGTATAAAAAATAATTATTTTTTTCTTGCTTTTCATGCTGTCCTTGGGAACAGCAGCTTAACAACGTCGTTGCTAGGCGACACGCACAGGGGTGATTTTCTGATTATTTAAAGCAGTCCGACTTACTCAAATAAATTATCTGTAAATAAAATCAAAGAAATACCACCACATTGCAGTCACAGTTTCATGTAGATTAGTTGCCAATGTTACATAATTAAGCAAGCTGCTTAGTGTGATTTTATAATAACCATTGCTTTCTAAAAACATCCAAGGAAAAAGTTAAATTATGCATTTTGAGTTGTTGATTTACTACAAATTAAATAAAGCGAGAGACCTTAAAAAAAACACAGATGCATTTTTTTTTTTTTTTTTTTACAAACAATTTATTAACATCTCATTCAATAAGCAAACAGTACATCTAAAAAGAGAAAAAAAAATATCACTGCAGTTTTGGCACTACACTATACATAAGTGAGGTACTAAATGCTTGGACTGATTTCAAGTCATCAGGGAAAAGCAAACCAAGTACATTTTCTCTCATCTCAGTGGGTTTTTAGAAAAAGGTAAATGATGCGAGGGATAATAGGGGAAGAGGTCACGATTACAGACAGGCGGTGTGGTTATTTTCTTGCAACGAGACACATGAAATGGTCATCAAACAGTTCTCACAGCAAACGCATCACACAGCACAGCAGTGGGGAGCTTGCCCTCTCCCTTTCTTGCAAGAGTAGATGACAATTGGCTCCTTTGCTAAAAGCTCTGCAATCTCAGAAATACCTTCTATGAAAAATTAAAACTTAGCACTTCAAAAAAAGTCAAATAAATAAATAAATATGTTTGTGCATATTTGCTACACGATGATAACACACATGCACGATGCATATAATCACATATAGATCAAACAGCCACACAAACATTGTGTGTTGCAGACAGGTGGCTTGAAACGAACACTTCGCTATTGGGAGATAGTAAAGAGTGTGTCTGACACTGGACATCATGATGGCTCAGAGTTGATACTTGGGATAGAATCCTGAGAAATGTATGGGACACTGGCAGATGTCTCTTCAAGCATCCCACAAAAGCGCACACACACACACACACACACACACACACATACACCCGTGCACATGCATACAAACAAACCAAAAAAAGAGGAAATAAAACTGTACAGTAATGTTACAAACTGCAGGTCATTCATTCCTGCTATGATTGATCCTTAAATATTAAGTATAGTAGAAATGTCAAGGAGCTAAATACATGAATACACAACTTGTCAATCCTTCTGGGTGCCACAACTCAGTTGCTTTGTGTGCCACTCTTCTTCCAGGGTGATGCTGTGTCTTTCAGTTAAGAACTAGAGCCTCCTCCCCAATGCAGGCTGGTATCTGTACATAGAAGTAAATCAAAAACACACTCAAAAACTGGCTCAAAGAAAACTCCTCAAGGCTCATTAAATAATCCTTAAAGCAGCATCGTTTTCACTATTCATTGACAAATAATGATCAGGTTCTTTTGGATGTGCGTGTGAACAAAATTCATAAGTATTTATCCTTCAAGAACAGTTTGAGATTGAAATGCTTTACCAGGTTTTAGGCATAGTAACAGGGGGAGACCAGTAAGTCAGTCAGGACCAGGAGCTGGTCATCTGTGAACTGCTGCTTATGTTGTTGCCAGTTGTCATGGTGAGTCCGTCGGAAGTTTGACAGAGTTTTCTTCACAGTCATCTGAAACAAAAACACAAATTATGTTTTTTATTTCTTGTAACAGAGTAAATCATAGTCATTGCACAGACAACAGTAGCTATGCAATTGTGGGAAACATGTGGTTGAGAAAGAACCCAACTCAAACAGTATAAATTGATAAATAGGTGATAACCCTTACTTCAATGGGTTGTGTGTCATTGAGGTGAGCACTCAGGTCCATCAACAGCTGGGGCATCCAAGTGGGCACATCATATGGACTGGAGAGAATACAAGCGCTCAACCCGAGAACGCCTGCATGGCGCCGCATCAGGTCTACAAACACACAACAGGAGGGATTCCATTAATATCAGAAAACGGCATATTGGGTGTATCATCACATGTTCTAGAGAAGCCCCTTACCAGCAGAAGGTATAGTGTCCACTGTAGAGCCGAGCTCCCTCTTCCTCTTCTTAGGCAAGCGGGTCTTGCAGAGAACCTCAAAATGTGCCTGCATGGGGGCGTCCATGGACAGGAAATTGCACTGAAGGAAGCCGCTGAGAGTAGTGGCGGCCATTTCTCTTACCTACAAAACAAAGGCAAGAATGAATTATGAAGTGTTTTTTGTCACTACAGTGCTACAGCAACTGGGTCATGATTTCTGGAAAGAGATATTGCATTGCATTTTGAGTACAAGCTGTATGCCATCTATTTAAATTATAAATGGGAGGAGGAGTCAGACATCACTCCAACCAATATCTCAGCAACACTCAGCAACATAATCAATTCACATTGACAAGAAACCCTACAGGTTTGTTTTTTTGTATTTAGGGGGGAACTGTCTCTTTAAGACCGATATATATACACTAACACAGAAGCGGGTTGCTCCTGAGTCACCGAGAGACAGTGGGGTTTGGATCCTCTGTGTGTGAATCACACGGTGACAGGTGTTCTAAAAGTTAATCCTATATTGTGCCAATTATGGGATAATTTAACTAGCGTAGCATCTCTGACTGGTCTCTTATATCACAAACTAACACACAAGCCCCAGCACCTTAACAACTCTTGCTGCACTGTATAAGACTCAGCAAAGCAACACTGTTATTAGGCAGGGTATTCCACTGGCTAGCTGGATGGAAATAGCAGCCAGCTGGGCACTGGGGGTGGATGCGTGTTTTGGGTACGTTTCTCTATAATAGGAGCTCGAATGGTCTGTCGCATATTTTATGTCTCCTCTCTCAATTAAATTCTTAGAAGGAAAGGTTAACTAATAAATGGGAATTATGCAGATCTCCAGAAGAAAGGCCTTTTTAGACTAAACGACCCCAGGGCCAATAGGTTACAGCTTTCCTCTTATGCTCTTTTAAGACACAATATTTTATATATAAAACAAACTGTCTTAAAGGTCCCATGTCATGCTTTTCCGGTTATTACCCGTCCCCTTGTGTGTTATGAAGGTTTTTCTGCATGTAAACGGTCTGCAAAGTCACAAACCCTCAAAGTACACCCTCTAGCGAGTCAAACTCTAACACAGAAAATACCTGTCTATGCTGCCCCAGAACGCCTCGTTGGAGATTTCTCTTTTTCCATTGTTTTCTTCCTGGGTATGGTGACGTGCCCATACCCAAATGGACCTATCCGTGGAGCTCCTCACACACACACACTCTTTTAGCAGCGAAAATGTGACACACTGGGGGGGGGTGCTAGTGGAGCCTCGCAGCGCGGCGAAACTGTGGCGTGCTTACACTGTAGGTGCGCCGCGTTTGGGGGTGCGATGCGGGTGCTAGTGGAGCCTCGCAGATGGGGCCTCAGCACCCCCCCCCCCCTTCCCGCGTCCATTCGCGCTGTCTCGCTGTCTCGCAGCAAGCAGGAAACCACACCAGTAAGCCAGCTCACACTGTCAGCTCGTCGCAGCAGCGAGCGAGCTGACCAATCAGAGCACACTGGGCTCACAGGGAGGGGGGGGGGCAGGAGCTCCAACAAGGCGTTTAGGACAGAGTGAAATTCAGTGAATACACATACTATACAGAGATGCTGTATGAGAAAACCAATGTGAGTTTGGAAAATTGCACTACTAATCTATTCTAGGAGACCTCAACAAAGGAAGGTATTTTCTTCATTATTTAATATAAGGGTTTCGTGCACCATTTGTTACTTGGTAATAAGGGGTCCCTGTATGCATAACATGTGTCTTGATAGGTCTAATAAAGGTGTGTAAAGGGCCTATAAAATCCGCCTTAGGTTAGTTTAAGAGGCCAAATAAAAATGGCTACTTCTATCCATCCCCCACTCCTCCTTTGTCTCTACTCCATCCCTCTCCCTCTCATCCTCCTTCAATCTGAACGTTATCTCCATAGCAACAGATTACTGCAGCCTGTGGTTTCCATGGAAACAGCTAGAGGACTGGAGGGGAGGGGGGGCCAGAAGGAGAGTGCTGAATCACTACAGTGAAGCTGAAAGACAGTGAGAACGTCTGCTAGCATAAACACGCATGTATTGGCCAAAAGCTCAACGAAGATTATATAACCAGACTGCCTTGTGTTTGTTCATATTACAGTGACGATTATGCCGGCATGTTTCAGCCTTACATATTTGATGATTGTAATGCTGTGAATGAATGGTTGTTTTTACCTCCAGCTGCTCGTCCTCCAGCAGTCGTACCACCAGCGCCCGGACTTCATTCACTGACTGCTGGTCATTCATGAAGGTGAACAGGTTGTAAAACACCATAATCTGGAGGTATGTGAGCACCGTGTAGCGAGCGTGCCAGGAGCTGCTGCCAGCAATCTGAAACACAACAATAAACCCATCCCAAATCAATAAAATATTCTGAGCATTTTGTTGGAGGACCAGACCAGACCCAGCCCCGGGGAGCCAACCAAAAAGCACTTTTGTAATAAAGCTCCTCTTTTGTGCCACTTTTAAATGTATAGAATATCAAACGGGTTAGAACAGATACGACTTCTTTAGCATGACTCTGCACAGCTTAGATTATGTTGTTGCCAATTGCACATTCAAAAATCCCTGTAGAATCCTTCCCTCATATTAACCCTTTTTCAGATGTACTCTATTATGCTTTAGAGAGGTGCAAACTACTGTACTGACATAATGTCTTATGTAACCGATTAATTTAAGAATGCATGTTTAGCAGTCAAACTTAGAAATCTCATTCATTTGTCATTCCCTTAGAACCTTTCCTCTTTTTTTGCGAAAATAACTTCACAGGTTATACGAAGCGGGGTTCTGTAAAAAGCCCAGTCATGTGTGATGCAGGTAAAAAGTGGATTAATAGCCTCAGCTGCCAGATGACTCACCTCCCGCAGGCCCCTGAGGACCATAGGGATCTGCTCTGGGTAAAGGAGTCCCTGAGACATCAGAGACAGACAGGTCTTTGCATCCCTCTTCAGTTCATCGTAACTGTCGTCATTCTCGACGGGAGCAATCTGGTACAGAGGACAGAGAGAGGTTAACGGGAAGGCAGGTGTCTTTTAAGATCCCTGTATGGGGTATACATTAAAAGTGAAAATGTAAAGTTTGCAGGGAGAAAGCTAGAGGATCAAAGCTTTGAATTAATGAGTGTTTCACCTTGAAGAGCAGGGGAAGCAACCGTAGCTGTTCTGGGACCGCAGTGGAGAAGGAGCGACCAGCACTCGCTATCAGCCACTTCAGCACTGCAGGCAGGAATATTTATGTTAAACACTCGTGTTTATAACAAAAATAGATGTTTATTTACTCATTGTGATGGTTCAGTATCAGGGATAAGATCCTCGACCCACCTGTTTTGAGCAGCTTGATGGCTTGCGTCCTCTCGTCCTGCTCTCCCACCTCGTTCTCCTCGACCACGTGGTTCTGGATCTCCTCGTCGCCCTCGGTGAGAGGCTTCAGCTGCAGCAGAATCCGCTCGGTGAAGTCGGAGATGCGCGGGGACGTGGTCGGCTGAGTGCATGGCAAGTTGACATCGATCATGAAGATGTACGTGAGCACGCTGGAAGGAAAGCAAATCAGAAGTGATACAATGAGACACAAAAAGCTTTAAAAGAGTAATTAATGACATTCACTAGGGATGTAAAAAAAGGACCTTACCTGCCAATGCGTTCCCGTACATTCTTGTACACCTGTGTGAGTTTGGGCTCCAGGTATTGAAGCAACCTGTGGAGCAGCTCTGGAACACGCCACTCCTGCTGAGCAAGGCCTCCCTGCAGCACATACAGACGACTGGAGAGGAAAAAGAAAGCACAGTCAGCACAGTTTTGTCATTCACATCAACATCAGAATCAGATTCAGGTTTATTGCCAGGTAGGTTAACACATAAGAGGAATTTGAAAAATTAAAACTGATAGAAAACTATTTGAAGAAAACTATAATAACATTCAAAACATATAGTAAAATATAGCAGTATTTACATTGAATATGGTTGAAGTAGAATTGGTATAAAATATGTGTAGTAATGAAAAACAAGATATTGTTGACATTGTGTGCATTAATGTAATGCATACAGTCTATGATGTGCAACATGTGCTTTAGGCTGCACCCTCTCTACTCACCAGGCGTCGACGAAGGAGCCCCCCTCTCCGTTGACAGGAGACTCCATCAGAAGCTCAAACAGCCAGTGGAGCTTGCGTGGGTCTCTACTCTCCTATACGAGACAGAATCAACAGAGTCATATAAAAGGAAGAATGAGTGACAAAAGTTTAACAAATGGAAGATTAAAGAAACGATGCATATAAACGGGCAGACGCTTACACAGGCTGTGGCAATGCAGGTTCCCCAGTCTGCGTACGTTTCTATGGTGATGTTGGACAGGGCCGTACGGAGCAGCGGACACAACAGCTCCCAAAGTTTCTCAACCTGTAAAAGTTCACAAGGCGGGATATATTGAAAATATGACATTCTCCTGAAATTCAGAATCAAGTTTATTGCCAGGTACGTTTACACATACAAGGAATTTGCTTTGGTGTCTGGTGGTGCGAACATAAACAATATAAAAACACAAGTTGCAAAGTAGGTAAAAAAAGAAATTTATAAGGATAATAAAAAATAAGTATTTTAAGAAACAATTTAGCATTAAAAAAGGATGCTAAAGACAAGTATTAACACCAATTTAAATGTAACTATACACTAACCTTAGAAGCTAAAAAACTAAAACACCTAGGACAATGAGTATATGGCAAACTACAGTGAATTATATTTTGAAGTGGAGGGCTGTGCAGACATGTGTGCAAAAAGCGAACTTCAGCTAAATTGTTCATGTTTACAAATTCCGATGACTTTTTAAATGCATCGTCGGAATTTCCCAAACTGTTTGAGTCCGCTTACTTTGTGAGAATTTCCTTTCCCCTACCTTTGCATAGCTCCAGTGCTTGCTGCCTCTGATCAGCCCTGAGATGATCTCTGCAACACAGCGCTGCTTGCTCTCGTGGGAGTCGGCCACCAGGCGCTCCATGTGTGGCCGCAGCAGGGGAAGAAAGATGTCTCCGAAATTGCGGAACAATCCCTGGAGAGAGCAGGAGAAGGGAACAGATTAATTTCCTTACCGGCCGACTTTAGCTGCTTCAATCCGTTTAACACTACCCTCAGCGAATCTCACCTTGAAGAGACAGAACCTGCGAGGGCTGAACTTGTCCTTTCCCTTACGCTCCTCCAGAGAGAGGAACTCGATGAACTGATTGATGAAGACTGGGTCGGAGAAGTGGTCAAAGATGATCTGTTCCCGCTGGCAGGACACATTCGATTTAGTAAATGTGGTTAACATTATTTAACATTACTATGTGCGTTATATATTTTTCATAAGGGGAGTGCGATTGTGCACAAACCTCTGTCATTTCCTCTCTGGTCAGGTTCTGTTTGGGCTGCTCCTCCAGTGGGGCATATATCATCAGTTTTCTAGAGAACAATAGTGAAGAGATGATGAATAAAAACAAGACGAAAGAAAGTATCCAACAGACAACCATTCATGTCATTCTTTGAGACAGCAAAAGACAGTCAGGTAAAGAAAATAAGACATATAAAACCTTGGCCAGCTGTAATATCCCCAGTGAGTTTTCTCCACGAACACACAGGCATCCCAGTCCTTCTGTGTGCGTGGCAGGCTGCTGCTGTCATACTGGAGCCACTTGTTGTCTTGACGATCCCCTGCTACATTACCACTCAGCTCCTTCCCTCCACCTAACAAAGATTGGTTATTTTTGAGACCAGTTTTAAACTATATATAAAGTGTGAATGGAGATACAAAATTGCAGACAAACAAGCCCTTGTGATTCTTACAGAGCTCTGAGGGGCTGATGGGGACTTTCTTATGCGGCCTCTTTATCTGTTTCATGATCCCTGCCACAGCGGATATCGCCACCTAGTGGAAAACGGGAGATATTTCAGACAAAATGTCCACAAGAAACACTGGACTGCATCCATATGCATTAGAATCACAACACCAATAATACACTTCTCATTATTTTGCATTTGCCCCACCTTGCGAACATAGAGGGAGTCATGGTTGAGGCTTTTGACGAAGAACGTGACGGCAGCTGGTGGGAGCAGGCGGTCGTCTCTCAGCAGCAATGACAGGAAGCCGATTGCAATGTGTTCGAACTTCCAAGGCCTAGAATGTTAAAACAAAGTAATTGTTACAGGCCAATAAATGCATATATAAATGATTTTAAGAAGTCACTTTTAAATTAACCTACATGTTGCTGTTGTTGAGGAATTCCAGCAGATCTCCAATGAGCTGATGGTAGTTCCTACAAACAAGTAGAAGAGCATTAGTACTTAAACCCTGTAATCGAGCCTATGATGTTGACATTCAATTAGTGAGTTAGCACATCATCTTAACAAATGCGTGTAAGAACTTTCAAAAGTTCTATTCTCCAGGGAGAAAAGACCATGTTGTGAACTTGAGAAATAGCATCTTTGCATTCAGCTATAGATATCTGGTCTTTGTCTTGAGTACTGATGAACTTACTGAACACATTCTGCATTCTTGAGCTCCTGCTTTTTCCCACCCTCTGCTACTTCCTCCTCTGAAGGAACAGGCTCCTTGGGAAGAGGATTTCCAGTGATCATGAGTCGTTTGGCCACAGTAGAGCACTCACCCTCAATCTAAAGGAATGCAAAAGATGAAACATATAGTATCAGACATACTTTGCTCAACAGGAAATCAAACTCAAAGCAAGCCCTAACAGGAGGGACTGATATGTATGTTTAGAGAGTAATGGAAAATAAATCCTATCTAAAAATGTATTTTGGAACTGGCTATATGGGAGAAAGAATACTGAAATGTATATGTAAAACTGCAGATACATTTTTTTCTGTTTACAAACTCAAAATGAACGTTGCAACCTCTGACACAAATGAAGATTATGGCATTCTAGTCGTAAAGATTATTGAGATATTATAGTTGAAAGATAGTTTTGAAAAGATTTGTTTAAAGAAGAAGGCAAACTAGCTGAAGAGAGCCATAAATGCCCCTCTTTATGACCGTGTTTTTTTGCAGCCTTGCTTTAACTTGGCTGCTGGGGACAGGAATTTAAAAACTGACTGGTACTAGAACTGTATTAAGAACATCTAATTAAGAGACTGACTGTAGAGCTTTTCTTTATTTGGTTTATTAAATAAGACTTTAATTTATTTTCTTTCTTTTACATTTTTATGTACTGATTTGTGTGGGGTGTTTATTCTCAATGTCGGTTGAAATGTCCACCTCAGTACTGAAAACAACATTGATGTCCAACAAATGTTGGAACCAATCAAACTTCACCACATATTTTGAATCACAAAATAAAATACTCTGATATTTGATATATAATTTAGATCTATCCTACAATTGTGGGGCATGTGTATTTGATATATTGAGCTTCTACTATAACAGGTAGGCAGAGATAAACATTGCCTTTGATTCTATGTTCCATTTGTGAAAGCCTTCTCTGTGATGTACTTACAGCAAAGTTGATGCCGATGGTCTCGTACTGGCGATGGATTTTGTCTGCAAGGTCATCAAAGAGCCGCACAATGGAGGGTTTCTCCAGAGACATGGCTGAGCTGAGGCCAGAGCGCACGATGGCGGGCCACGTCAGAGCAATGCAGTCCCAGTCGTGCAAATTGGCCAGGCACACTCCACTGTGGTTCCCCAGGAAACAGTACAAGGCACCCTGGAGAGGTACAGATGTGGAGCATGTTTAGGAGCAAAAACTCAAAAGTGTAAAAATGTGTGAGTTTGTTTGTTGTATAGCACAACACAGAAAAGGACTGCCGTACTTTGAACTGCTGCTGTGAGACACTGCTGTTGTCCGGGTTCAGAAACTCCAGGACATGGGGGATCAGATCTCTGCAGCAGAAATTGTAGGTCCCCAGTGCCGTGAACAACACATTTTGAGCCCTGCTGCGTACCTGGAAGGTGATAAAGAAAAGTCTCAGTTAGATTATTATATACTGTCAAATGTCTTTTGGATTGATGATGTGTAATTGCTCAAATGTAAACAAACTAATGCACAATGCATTACTGTTGAGTGTCACTCACTTGGCTGTACGTGCTTGTGGACAGCCTCAACAGATCTCTCATCAGCTCCCGGTGAATGCTCCTGTACTGACATCCTTCCACTGTCAGCTTCCGCAGCTGGTAAAACGCAAAGATTCAAAGTTATAAATAGTAACAATATACAAGGATACCCAATAAGGTCATTTCTCTAGGAAAGACTTACCTCATGCTGGAGCATGACTCTGTCTATTAGCAGAGCTCTGATGTGCTGCTTTCTGCCGTGAAGCTGCAAATACAACGGTGAGGCATTTTAGATTTTTACAAACATAAATAGAGAAACTGCAATACAGTACAATCTAAAAAAGGCATTATACACTTTGATAAATTACAAAAAGGATAACAGTAGTATAAAAGTAACACAAATACAATAAAATGTTAGGTTTCTCACTCTGTTTTCCATTGATTTCTTCACAAGGTTGAAGCTCTTCCAGCGGGAGTCAAACTCATGTTTGTGAGAACCTTTGAATTGCAATAGGTCGCTGATGATCTGAAAGGTATCACAGACAGAAATATTGATAATAGTTGGGTGATAGGATCAATACAAAGCTCCTGGCAATAGCCTGTGAGGAGTATTGAGTGATTCAAGGCGGCAAACGTGATTAAAGTCAATTCAGGGATAACCTCTGCCTACACAATGTCCCACGCAGTGTTTAATACCTCCCACACACGCTCCACTGTGGCCTGTTTGGCTTTTAACCCAAATATATAAATGCTGGTAGGGTCTGGCAAAGTACAGGGAAACAGGGAAAATGTGCCTTATAGCCTGACCTCTGATATAGGCACATTATTCAGCACAAACACATAGGAGTATACAGACTAATATGCTACTGTGTGTCTACCTTGATGATGGAGAAAAGAGACTTGGTGTCGTCTTCAGAGTGCTCCAGGATGTAATCTGCAAAAAGAGTTTGAAGTTTATTGTGAGTTTGTCTTTTAAACACAATGAGACTACAGCCTGGTTAGAGATGTGGCTGTAGGGAGAGTAACTGAGGGAACACTTACTCAGCAGCTGTCTCATCACTCTGCACACAGCATCTCTGTAGTTCTCTCTGGTGTCATCTGCAGGTACAGATAATATTACAGTGTCAGATAATAGTCAACAAACCCTATTACTTACACTTTTGTTAACAAAACAGTTTTTAAGAAGGGCTTTGCTTACCATACTCTACTCCAGTGTAGAGGGTGGTCTCATCTAGATTCACCATACTTTGGACCCTGAGGGGTAAAACCAGGTTCAAAGCCAAGTCAGCTACTCAAGTCTTTGAAACTTCATAAAGTCCTTAGCAACAATTCTACAACTTAAGAATATATACATATATATAGGTCATACATCCATTTGGGATATTTCTGTTGTTCTTCAGAACCAAGCATAACTTAGATTTAAACTAAGATGTGTTTAACTGTGTCTTTCTCTGGTTTTCTTGGTCAGAAAGGAGATTATTATGTGAAAGCATGTGCTCACAGTTTAGGGATGGTCTCTCCCTTCAGTGCAGGCATCAGACTCCCAGCCCCGAGGAGGCAGTGCTGAATGATAGTCAGGCTCTGTAGGACGTCATCTCTGAAAAACACAAAATCAACACAAGTCCTATAAATACATGCATGACAGAGCCAAACAGAGATAGACTGAAACCAGTTTACGTCTAGCAACTTCTGTATTTGTAATGCTGTAGGAGGCACAGGTGAACACTTAAACTTAGTTTTGCATACCTGCTCATGTCCTGTTCTCCCTGTGCAAATCTCTGAAGGCGCTGGAGCTCAGGCTGGAGGATCAGGTCGAGTAAGTAAAACGCAAAGGATGTTTCCTCAACACTGGGCACATGCCACCGGATATCCAAATTCCACAGGTCTCCAGGCCGACCCCAGTCCTGCATGGGACAAAAGCATTGTGCTTTTGCTTAATATACAATACTTTTGTTGACTTCAGGCTACAATAACACCACAAAATAAATATATTTGGTATGTCTACATATCATTTAGTATGTTCTCATCTGATTTACAACTTTAATATCAACACACAAACTTCCCAGAAACTGCACGTTGGCTAGTTACTAAATCCAATCATGATGTACAAAACTAAAACTCCACTGACACCACTATTTGCCTGTTTAATGGGTAAAGGTAAACAATTTAACACGTGGTTAGACATGCAGTATACAAATGCATTAAAAACAAGTATATATAGTATTTATCAAAGACCAAGCAACACATAACACATTATTTACTCATGCTGGCAAATGTAGTAACCACAAGCGAGATATCTCCTGTTGTTCTGCAGGACACCGTAATCCAGTAAAGTGATCTAGTATCCATGCCTGCACTGATGAAGGTACTTAATGGAATAAAGCCACGAGCTGTCTTCACTCTAACTGAAGGGAGGATTATTCAAACCAGGTCATAGTGAGTGCCACAAAGAGTTGTATGGCTTTGTCTGGGCAAAGGTTGGGTTGTAATGTCCCCTTTAACCACTTTTGCTTGGACCTTGCTTTGATCCAGAACCAAACTTTATTTTGCGGTAGACCACACATCTGTACACTTTTATGACTGTAAGGTTGCAACTCAAAATCTGTCAACATACAGGCGGAAATATAAAAACCTGGCAAAGCAGACAGTACTGCTTTTCCAGAAATTCCCACTACAGTAGGTGTCTCCACGAGTACCTTTTGCCATGAAGACACACAAATAGACTGACACACAAAAGCAGCTTTGCTGTCGCCTTTGCTGTACCTTGATGGGTAAGTAGTCACTGATTGGCTGGTGGAAGCCTCCTGGCACACTGCAGTACTCTTTGGGGTAGAGGAGGGCTGAGGAGCGGAGGAGGTGGTGCAGCAGGTTGCAGGCCAGAGTGTAGCCCTGCTTACACTTGAGGTGGAGCGTCAACTGCAAAATCTGGACCACCTCGGAGCGATAGGGGAGGACTTTGTCGCCATCAACCCGGGTCACCTGAGGTGCACACGGCATAGAGGGCACAATATAGTGAGTACAGATTTATAGATAGGAGATGTTGTCTATAGCAGGAAGTTAGAGGTTAAGTTAGTGAATAATAAGTGCTCCACATTACCTCAGACAGTAGCTGGAGATTCCACATCAACTCCTTGTCAAGCTCCTCCTCATTCAACACTTCCTCATCTGTTTAAAAATAGTGTGTCAGGCAGATGACAAAGACTCATGGAAGAAAACATAAATTATGAGTTTGAAAACCTTCTCTTATAGAAATGAAGAGTACTTACTCTCAGCGATTTGGTTTATGGCATTGCAGCAGTGTGGCACAAACAACTTGAGTGACTCTGCAGGGTGACACTGAAAAAAGAAGCACAGAGAGGATGAGAATAGTGATTAATAAGCTACATGGAAGTTGATGCTTTGGGCCATAAAGAAGAGTCTGAGGGGACTCACCTTGGAAGCGGCTCTGCACATGTCAGCCACCATTCTGCCAGCTACTCGTGTCTCAAAGATGTTGGTGGTTGCAAAGTTGAACACCTTTTTAAGAGCAACCTGTTAAAACAATGGGAACAATTAGTTCATATTTATAGTAGGGCTGTCAAGTTAACGCAATTTTTTTTTAACGCCACTAATTATTTTAACGTGCGATTAACGCGCGATTAACGCATGTGTATTTGTCCTCGGCCCACCCCGTAGTTTGAGAGCCCAAAGGCTTAACGTTGTTGTTGTTGTTGTTAGTTGGATGGTGGGAGATTCTAGCGAGAGATATGGATACAAAAAAAGGTGTTTTAAACAGCAAGCCAAGCACACAGCTGATGCTGACAGCCCCGCTCCTGCCGCTCACTTGCGGCAGACCACGCTTGAAAGTTTGCCGGGGAGACGCCTGGACACGGCATCTACGAGCAGCAAGCTTTCAACAGCGATAGCTAAATGGGGGGCGGTGTCTACAGCTTGCAGGACAATTAACATTGTGGCGGACGAGGGACTGTGTGAGATAATTTGGATCGCATCCAACGTGTTGACTGCACATCACAGCACATTATTTTGACCCCTGTGGGAACTTCAGTCTCATGCTTTGACTGTTATGAAGACAGAGGAGCGGCATTTCGCCGACAACTGTAAACAGGCTTGTCTGTTTGAGCAACTGGCTCAGTGCAGAGAAGTACACAGGGTTGGGAGAGAGTGAAGAGAGAGAGAGAGGTTCCAGGTTGTTGTATTGAAAATATTCAGGAGAATATTTGTCATTGTTCCAATGATAATAAACAAACATTTGCATAAAGCATATTTGTCCACTCATATGTTGATAAGAGTATTAAAAACTTGAAAAATATTCCTCTAAGGTACATTTAGAACAGATAAAAAAATGTGCGATTAATCGCAATTAACTATGGACATCATGCGATTAATCGCGATTCAATATTTTAATCGACTGACAGCCCTAATTTATAGTGCTCTGAAAAGGATGAATGAGACGTGACTCTTCACCTTGAAGATGTCCAAGGAGCACTGGGTGAGGATGGTGCTGAAGGTGGAAGACAGGCCGAGCTCTACCAAACTCTCCAAATGAGTCATCTTCTCTGTTTCTGTTTCCTCACGGGTTTGTTCCAGAGTGCTGCTGTCTATCAGGGCAAAGCATCTGTGCGAATGACAGAAAGAAATAAGTTAAAATGTTTGGATACTATCTCACTCGGTATCTTAATAGAGAAAATACTTTTGGTTATGATCTAAAAGTCTACTCTGGTATAAGACTGTTTTTTTCTCGAGTCAGAAGCAGTTTTTAAGTGAATATGTTTTTAAGAGCAGTAATTTTGCCATGAACAGTACTTTTGCTGTATCAAATTCTTCTTTATTAAAAGTGGAGAATATTTAAATGATATTCAGATGACTGGAAATCTTGTTTCAGCCATTACATGAACAGTACTTTTATTGTGGATAGACCTAAGAAATCTCTCCTATCACAGCTGTGTTACTGACAGCCACTGCTGCTGATGCTGTTCTTCATCAAATCTCTACGTACCTGTCCATGAATAGAAGCACAAAGTCTTCAAACTCTGCTGAGGCTGAGCACATCTCCCTTTCCACCTGAAAGGCATACAAAAGATATGACAAGGTAAACCCAAGGACCATTCAACAACTTATTTTTTATTTAGGAGATGATATATAATTATGATTCACCTCTGTCAAGTCAGTTCTTTCATGTAGGGCGGACGAACAGTCCACCAAAGGCACAAGAGTCACAAAAGTAGCAATAAATTGGAATGTGATCTGTGGGGAGAGGAATGTTTGTATCAGATGGAATACCTTTTTCACAACCCTCCAAAAACACAGTAGGAGCGCTGAGAGAAGATAGAAGTGAATTACAATGGAGCTCACCATGCACTTGCTGAAATCATTTGGGTCAACGCCCGGCAAAGCCCTCATGAGCAGGGGCAGCATGTGAGTGGGCCCCTCAGGATAGCGCTGCCCACCTGACACTAGGCTCCGTGCCACTCCAATCATGCAGCTCAGAGTGGCCGTCAGCTGGTGGGGCTCTGTGAGAGTCTCCAGAGCCGGGTATGTTCTGTGGGAGAGACGGAGAACAGTTAGCCCTTTGTGTTCCTCTCCAAAAGCGGCCTTGTCTTTTATCTAAAGCGGAAAACCTCGCTCTAGATTCTAAAGAAGCAGAACTTGGGTCAAAGATGGATCATTGAAAGTCTGTTGTTTCATAAACAGGGTTCTTACACCTTTTCCAAAGTCAAATTCAAGCACTTTTCAAGCATTTTCAAGGTGCATTTTCAAGCTTTTCAAGCATCTTACAGCTGTTGTAAATTACATATTTATATACACATACACATACTTATACTCAAATGATTATTTCCCTACCTCACATTAAATCAGATGTTCTTTATGCTATAAACAACCAAATGTGTGTTTCATAATAGCATTCTACATGAGGATGAAAAATTTAAAATGTTAGAAAAGAAAACTAAGTTTAATATTTCAAAATGTGTGACCCATCTGTACGTAGACTGGGCATCCCATATAACCTGGCTGAGCCAATATAAAACAATCAGCCAAATAACTTTTCAATATATTATTGATTACTATTTTTGAGGTACTTTTAGGTTGGCAGTAAACACAAGTCAGAGGTAAATGGTGTACTTTGACTCCACTACATGTATTTAATCCCTTTAGTTACTTTACAGATGTGGATGAATGATGTGAAATATAATCAAGTGTTAAATCAGACTTTAGTTCCACCTGGAGTAAATTCACAAGCTACCCTGCAGTATACAAAGTCATTCAAACTAGCTGCAACTTTACCAGCTTTGATAACACTTTCATGATCAATCATTATAAAACATATCATATACAATTATTAGGGATGCTCCGATCGCCAATTTTGGGGCCGATCGCCGGAATCAGTATCGGCCGATCCCGATATCGCTCTCTTTTCCTCTCTCTTCCTCTCTCCCCTGACAGCCCGTCAGTATCTCCTGCAGCTCACTGATCCAGTAATGAGCGACCCGACAGTGAAGAATAAATATATTTATAACTAGTTTAGCTTGTTCCAGAGGTAGATAAAATAGCTAAGTGTGTTAGGTCTAACTCTTAATGTGTGTTCTGCTCCGCTCACCGGTCCGTCACAGCGGGTGGAGCTGCAGGATTTCTGCTTCACACACACGTTGCATACCGCTATTTTATTGTCATTTTCGGACACTTAAAATACTGCCAGACTAGTGAAGCCATTTTGGCGAGCTTGTTTTGCCGCGCACAGAGAAAAGTGTCATGTATTTTACATGCAACGATAGCCTAATCTAAAATGCTCTACTCTGGCGTACCTTTCGTGTGGTGTGTGGCTCGTCAGCGCAGACTCTCGCATCGTTATTGTTGCACACTTTGCAGGAGGCTACTCTTGGGCTTCGCTTGACCCTCGTCTTAGCCATGGCTTGTATTTGTCTTCTGCTAGCCAACGCTCGTTGAAACGGCAACCTCCTGGCATACTGTCATCTATCATTCTCATCAGAATGCCCAGGTCACACACGTAACAAAAACACTTGCCGGTCACGCGCAAAGCGCGGGAAGGCCGGAGCGGAGCTGTTTTATGTAAAAGCAAAGCAATTAAGCGCGCTCCGACTTCTTTATTTTCTTTTAATCTAAAAAGCGAAGTAAAGCATTTACAATTTCAAGCACTTTATCCCAAATTCAAGCACCATTCCCAAAATTCAAGCACTTTTCAAACCTTGAAAACACCTCGTACAATTTCAAGCATTTTCAAGGATTTCCAGCACCCGTACGCACCCTGCATAAAAGACTTACCTCTCAAGCACGGGGGGGATAACCAGCTCAGGCCTCATCAGAGCGAGGTTCTGCAGGGCCTGGGCTGCATCCATGCTGCCCGTCTTGCTGAACATAGCCAGCAGCACCGGCTGCATCATGCTCTCCACAAAGGCTGTGATATCCTCCTCTGAGAGCTTGTGGCTGTCTGGGACTGGTGTCAGCCATGTGGGCTTCCTGTAGCGCTCTCTGTGCAGCCGCCGCACCACGCTGGCTGGGAGACGCTGGAGCAGCCTCATGAGTTTCATCTGGACATGAGGACAGAGGGAGGGATAGATAAATACATGAGAAAGCAGTGAGGCTAACCCACAGGTGGAAAGTTGTAGTGGACAAATGGAGAATTGGATGGTGTGTTGAGCATACTGGACATACAGAAACAAAATGAGACACTGTGGATATATTATCTATGTGTCCTGTATACATAAGATAAGATAGTACTTTATTTAATGGACAATTATAGAATCATTTTAGTACAGTCAAATCACTTGAGTATGAATGGAAATTCATTCGGCAAAATATAATATCACTTTGTTACACAGAGACAAAAGAGTTAGAATAAACACTTATCTGTTTTAACTTCGCCCTGGCCAATACAAAATAATCTTTTCATCTCTAATTTCTGTATGCAACGATTGGTTTGTCTTATTGAGAGCTACTGTACTTGTGGTAGGATTGTTGCTGTTTCGAGTTTGTATCTGCATGGTTGAGTGCATTTATTGAAAGTCACTTTTGATGAAACCGTTAGCTAGATGAAGTTATAACCTTTAGTGAATAGCTAAGCTAATTCTCAGAACGATACAACCTGAACTGACTTTAGAAGTACTTTTTCCTCTTAGCTGTGGTTTCATTTCATGTAGACAGTTGTGCAATCAACCAAGTGAATGACCCTCTCACGTGTTTCCAAGCAACAGCCAAATATATGGACAAACACATGCCCCTGCCAAAAATAAAGGTTTGTGTATGAGGACACGGTGGTGCTTCAAATCTTGTATCGGTGGATCGTCATAACAAAAAGGCATTTGGCCCTGCTCCCGGTGACCTTCAATAGCATTGTAGGCCTCTCACTTGCAAGTTATTTCCGAAGTTGATACAGAGATTCAGGAAACTTGAGGAGTGACTACGCTCTCCCTCATTGTGTTGCCACTGAGCGCTTTGGTATGCTGTGTTAACTTCACTTTGGACAAGCCAAGTGAGTGATTTATCTAAACTCCCAGGTAACAGTCATGCACATGTAGGTTGTTTATCATTATTCTCTTCTTTTCGATGTACGCTACTGCTATATTTTTTGTATTTATCACAGAAAAGTACATGATCTGCTGACCCCAGAGTCACTAACAAGTTATTAATGCAGATTTGTCAATTGTTTGACCTGATGCCCAACAACACAGCTGTGAAACATCCCTTGTTGTTTATAATTCCACAGTCGTCCAAAAGAAGTATGAAGTGACTCACCAACCAGCGGCCATGGTTTGACGGGTGGAAGAAGGATGTAATACTGTTGAAAAGGCCACTGAGCTGTTCCTGAGCCTGCTTGCTGGGTCCTCCCTGAAATGAACACAGTAAGGGTCAATCTAGCAATACACTTTACATTAACAGTGACTTTCTTAACAAACACATCATGTATGAACAGCAAACTAACCAGGAGCGATGAGACCCAAAGCACCACATGGCCGATTTCGTAGGCATTGGTGACATATCGTGCTACCATCATCTGACTGGTGCCCACAGGGAGATTCAAACTCCTCAAGATTCTTGTGAAAATCTGAAATGTGAAAAGCAAAAGCAATAAGTGTCTTAAGATCCATGTGTGATTATTTTTCTTTGAAAAAAAGTCCTTAACATATAATTGGAATTAACAGGTCATGAGATAAATAACTCAAACTAAATTCATGAATCAAAACAATCCCTCAGTCGAAACAGGTATGATGCAAGTCACTTCCCTTCAGTAAGCAACAGCAACAAGGAAACTTGATAGGTTGCTTATGTCACAAGTAGGGATGCTCCGATCGATCGGTCACCGATCGAGATCTGCCGATACTCACTCTCTACCGATCGATCGGTGCTCTCTAAACATGCCGATCGCGAGGGCCGATCGCATGACGTAAAATACATGACACTTTTCTCTGTGCGCGGCAAAACAAGCTCGCCAAAATGGCTTCACCGGTCTGGCATTATTTTAAGGTGTCCGAAAAAGACAGTAAAATAGCGGTATGCAACGTGTGTGTGAAGCAGAAATCCTGCAGCTCCACCCGCTGTGACGGAGCGGTGAGCGGAGCGGTGAGCGGAGCGAAACACACAAGAGTTAGACCTAACACACTTAGCTATTTTATCTACCTCTGGAACAAGCTAAACTAGTTATAAATATGTTTATTCTTCACTGTCGGCCTCACACATTACTGGATCAGCGAGCTGCATGAGACGATACTGACGGGCTGTCAGGAGAGGGAGAGCGGGGGAGAGAGAGGGGGAGAGAGAGGAAAAGAGAGCGCTTGCTCATTTCTCCCGTGTTATTATCCAAAGTGAATGTAAACTTGAATAATATACATAATTTGAATGTAATAATTAAGTTGATTGTTGTTTGTGGAAGCTCCAGTGAATGAGCCCCATTAACTGAGTTTTAAACATCACTTTAAATGGAAGATTTAAAGTGATGTTTAAATCTTCCATTTAGGCCCCGCCCACTCGATCGGATCTGCGATCGGTATCGGCAGATACTGATTCTGGCGATCGGCCCCAAAATTGGCGATCGGAGCATCCCTAGTCACAAGCACATGTGAAATACACACCATGTGCCCAAACCATAAAGGTCAGACAACACATTACAATTCTAAAACAAACAAGTTACTACATTGAGTAATGGGTGATTGCATAAAAAGAAAAGGCACAAACCTTCGGGATGTAAGGGTCCCAATCAATGTAGCCGATGTTGTCATTGGACAAGCGAGCAAAGAGATTGACCAGATGCTGCAGAGATGAAGGAAAACATGTTAAACTGGGAAGATAGAAATACTGACTATTGCACATTCAAATATCTTTCAGACAAATTATCTACTCACCATTTCCCAGCTTGGAAGATTTTGCACAGACAACCATAAAGCTATGAACTCATCGAACCACAACCTGTCGGACAAACAAATGGTTACAAGAGCAGAAGAAAACCCTACAAAGTATGAACATGTGACATTTAACAGATAGGTATTAAAGGAAATGTCATTGAAAGTAAAGGATGGGGGAAGATTGGCTGGTCATTTTCATATAAAAGCCTCTAACAATGCAGTTTGTTTCATTAACACTCTTCTCTGGCTAGGTAAACAGTTTGGGTAGCACATTATTTTATGGGTTAATATGTTTGATATGAATCCCATGACATGTCATTTGGCATAACAGGTTAGAAGTTCAGGTTTTTACTTAGAAGTAACACAAACCCATGTTGTCAAAAGGATCATAACAGCCACTCTGTTGAAACTAAAGCATGATGCAAGTCAATTCCAATCGGTGACCAAGAAAAGATCATGAAGGAAACATGATAGTTTGTTTCTCTGACAAGCAGCATTGGCAATGAAATACACACCATAGCCAGGAGGTACTAAACATACACTTGTGTACAACAAGTTAGGGCAGTGCTTTTTTGATGGGTTCATAATTCGGAAAAGGTTTAAATCTAAAGACCTATATCATTTGGTATTGGATGTTTAGGATTATCAGGAATATAATACGGATAGTATTATTTTGGTAAAGTTACAATGATCTTTACATTTAAGATCATTTAGAAAAGAATGTTGTCAGTGCCCGCTAAAATGTGTCTATTGGCTGTCCAGGCATAAACGTTTGACAAAATATAGGAAATAAATATTCAATAAAACAAAATAATGATGAATGAAAATTGACTAAATCATAGTTATCTACAGAAAACTTCAGAGAAAATGTTAAGGAAGTTATGGATACGGAAAATATAGTAGAAGCTAGTACTTTCCTGTCATCCAGATACACCTACACTTTTGAAGGCATACCAAATGCTACTAACAATTGTTATTAATTAATCTCCATGCTTACAGAGCCCACTTATGGGGCAAGCATTCCTAAGGCCAACTGCTGCTCATCCCAAATGAGTTCTATTGGGTTGAGATCTGAGAAGCAGACTACTGACACTGTCAAAATCCTGGAACGATCTTATGACCCATTTCCACAGTTTGGAACGGCTGATGTTGACGAGGTGCAGCCATTCCTTTGTTTGGTTGCCAATGAAAGGATCCAGCTAAATTGTTAAAAGTTGATAAGTGCTAACTTTAAAAGTAACTTTAAGCTACTTGCTATAAGATCTTTTTAGATGGAGAAATATTGGATCTCCACATGTCCGAAACAATGAACCAGGTCTCCCTTGAAAAAGAGAACAATGATCTCAATGGGATACACCTGGATAAATAAAGGTTTGAAATGAAATGAGAGGTTTCTTAGGCGTTGTGCACACGGGAACGTTTGCGTTTATGCACAGTATGCGTTTTCAAAAAAGTCTTCCGTTCACATGCATTCGTTTCATTTAACGTGTCTGTTCAAACGAGACCGCTGGAAACGCTGGACACGCTGTAGTACATATGCCGGGACTGTAAGTGGCGCTGTAACTTCCGCCACAAAATACACCAAAAGCAGCGAAGAAGACCCTGGAGCAGCCCGGAGCAATGTTGCCATGGCTACCCTTCTGTTTATGCCCCGCGGTGGATTTAGCAACATGTAGTTCATGTAATTCTCCATGTCCACTTGTTGCTGATGGTTGTGGTAGAGGAGCTGTAGATTTTGCACTAATATCTGTAGCATGGTCAGCAGCAGTAGCACTAGTAGTAGCTACTGAGTGACAGGAGGAAGTGTGTGTGGCGATTGCTGGTATTCAGCGGGATATAGTAATTTCCTCAGCATATGGATAAATGCAACGGGGAAGTTAACTGAAAGAAACTGAATCTGTGGATATTGCATCGACCGACCAAGAAGCACGTCTCCGTGGAGAGGACGCGCTCAGAAAGAGAGATATTCTCTACAAACACCGGGTGAGATCGCTCCGCTGGGACACGCCGGTCCTGTGTTTCCTTTTTTTGTGTGGATTATAGCCTGAATAGGCCTACAAACATTTCTCTTTTTGCCGCCGACGGGCGCAGGAGCAATGAACAATAATGGCCTGGATTAGGCAGTAAAGACAAGTTTGGTGTATCGCAGAGCGGACTGTTTAATTTTGTTTGTGTTGTTTGGCTGGAAAATTGTCAATATAATTGATCAATGCATGAAATCTGACTCTGTTTATTTTGTTTAAGGAGTATATTGGGCGTTAACAATTCTGGTTTGCCTTTTATAATATTATTTCATTCAAGAACCCCTTGTGCGTTTAATTAACACAGCTATTTTTGATAGTTGATCGTTACAGATGGCTACTGGCCATGCTACAGCAGTGAGCAGCAGAGGCGGGGAGAGGTGGGGCTATCGTTATTTTTTTCAGGAAATATTCGTATAGAGGCGATTACACGGACTCGCTTGACCCCCCAGAGAGTTTTGTTTGCAAATCTATCCACCTTGGGACCCGTTATCGTTTGTGAGGTCCGTTTCTATCGGCCTCATGTAAATAATAGGGCTATACGCAAGCGAAACTATGCAGATACAAGCAGTTTTGTCCTCGTGTAAACGGCGCCTTACTTGAACCCCTTGCAGTGCAGCTCTGGAGGCAGAGTCGTGGGTAGAAAGAGTTCAAAGTAGCTGATGGCTTTTAGCATGGTGACATCAAAGGGACAGAGGAGTGGTCTCCATTCATCCAGCATCTCCTGAGTAGCAGACTCCGGAAAGTATCTGTATAAACAGAGAGAGAATAGCAATTAGATTCACCAGATTATGAATATAGACAACAATACCAACAAGCAGAGCATTTTGCTACAAAAACAAAAACATCACACACATCAGATTAATCTATGATGACTGGATTTTACTATTAAAAGAGAACCCTAAACTACATTTATATAAAGTAACAAGAATAAGGACTTAGGTGATAGTTTCAACCCAATAAAAAACAATTGTCTTCACGTTATAAACAAGCAGTGACTGGATTTTCAATGTTCACAATCAGTCCAAAAGCATGACATAACAAATCATACACCTGACATATTCTTAGCAGGTTAAATCCTGTGGGCTCAAAGTCCCACATGGGGATTTCCATGGTTTATTATGTGCTTGAGTACATCAGGTCATAGACTCCGTGCGGTTTCACATCCATGCGAGGCCTTGCAAATAAATGGTCACTTCCAACCATTGCTACTACCCTCGGCCTCACCAATGATCAACAGCGTCGCAGCAGCTGACCGCAGCTGACCACAACTTCTCACAGTGACAGGAAACTCTCACACAAGACAGAATTAGATATAATAGGATTATCTGCCTAAGTGCAAACTGAGGGACGAGTCCTAGGAGTCTCCTAAGATACCTGCAGGCGCGCTGCTAGAGGGAAAACAATCAGGTAGCTGCTGGTGGCAGGAAAGCTTTGGAATTATGAACACATTGAACTCTTCCTTATCCGCAGCAGCATCCACTTATAATTAAATGAGGGTACTTCTCAGCTAGAACAAAATAACTATTTTTTATACATCCCTCTTTCTATTATTTAATGTCTTTTTAACTTACTAAATGCAATATTGATTTAGACTAATATACCGCTAATGTTTTCCTGCACATACCCCAAAGGAGCCAAAATGCAAATAGAAGAGACAGTTATAGAAACATCATTAAATGAGATGTACTTACGGTCTGCAGCTTTTCACAAGTGTTTTCAGCACGTTTTCCACAGAGCTGTAAAAAACAGAATGACAGAGGAATGTTATGGCATGTCAAATCCACCCCCCCAGAAACAGTGATGTTAAACAATCTCCACACCAATGCAACTTGACTTTGATTGCATGCACACAGAAACTTCTTTACACGCCTGTGGTGTACAGTGAACGAGGAAACCTTAGGATCTGGTGTGAAGTGAGAAAATCGTAATAAAAAGTCATTATTATCGGACTGTAATCAATTCAGATAATAAAGTGCCAATTGTTGTTTCCTGTTGACCTTCCTGGATGGCCTCATGCCAATATATGGATTCATAATTCAATTAATGTTCATTCATAACACAAATATTTCAATTCGATCACAGCTCGAACAATTTTTCAGAGGTGGTTCTGGATTAACGACTAATTATAAAATGTCTTACACATCACAAACTCCTGACATGATTATCTTCACATCGTCACATAAAGCTCCTGACCGATATAACCACAGCTTTTGAGCTCCCAGCCCACAATCCCACCGATCTGTTTGCATGCAAGCTCAAGCCATGCCTTGTTGGAAATGCCCAGCCAATTCCACTCAACAACTGGTCACTTATTTTCAAAATATTTACAGTCTTCTTGTAGATGTCATCCTCTACATTTAACATTCTAACAAAACTTGAATTATAGGTGACACTCAAGCAGCTGACACTATTTAAGTGCATGACTATAGCTCAAATGTTTAGCAGTGTAAGCCTGAAACACACCAGCCACAGACCAAGTACCAACTCATGCACTGCAAATCCATTAGCAAGAACTAGTCAAACCGAGTGTCCCATTACAAGTTGCTCAGACACTCAGAGGCTGAAGGGAGCCCAGACTACACTATATGACCTTTGTATCCGAGTTTAAGTGAACTCTCTCGTTCACCCCAAAACATTCCAGGAGAGGAGGAATGTGCGTTCCTGTGTGACTCCTGAAAATGCTGCGTCGTACTGAAGGTATGGCTAAGTAGGGAAAACAGCGAAACTAAACCAAAAACATATAAAGTAATACTAATCCCACTGTTAAGCAGCATATAGAGGAATTCATGTTGCATATAATAAACGGTTTACTTCCTAATATTTTTTTATATTGTTACTTTATTGCTGCCACATAACACACTATAGATAGAAATAAACTACACTGTTGTCTCATTTTTGATATGGGGGATAGGAGAAGAGTAAAAAAATATGTTAGCTGCAGTGCGGCAGTCTCCAATATGAGTGAAATGTTAACATTGCTTAAGTCTTGACTTTTCCTCTGTCACAATGTGGGGTGTCCAGTTTTGGTTTTCACATGCAATGTATAAAAAAATAATAAAAACAAAAACAAGTGCCTCAAAAGATGAATTCAAAGTAAAACACAAAGAGAAGTATTTTCCTTACCACCTCTGAACCAATTTTATCATTAAGTGTTTAGAGGATGAACGAGGCCTTGGAGAACTGAATGTGAAAGGAGACAAAGGCATAAAGAACACATTCAGCACACAACAAAGTGCCAATAACTGAAAAATATGAACATACTTTGCATCACAATTTATTATGCCATTTCAGAGAATCAGTTTTGTGTGCGTTAGTAGAGTTTTGAAAGAGTTGAGCTGGAAATGAGCCAAAGTAGCCTGCTTTCATCAGCTGTAAAGTAACAGTGACGTGTTAAAAAAAAGGGTCAATGTTCCCATAGCACCATAAAAGAGCACCTCGCACTGCTTGCTACATCATAGGGACTTTATAAGGGTGTTGCATAGAATAAATCGACAACTACTTAGAACTGCTTTCTAAAACTGTGTAAAGGTCATAGTGGACAGTGTTCCCTGTATAAGGTACAGTTATGAAAAGGTATGTGGCGCACAAAATGTTCCCTTTGTTTCCCAAGAACTGGTCCAATCTTGCAAACACAATAAGATTTTAGTAGAACTACTGAAACCCATAACCTAAGAAGAATGTTCAAATGTCCCTTGATATATAATAGTATCCATGTCTCTAAATGATTGCAATATTCTGTGTGTACTTTAGAGTTGTGAGAGCACATAATTAACAAAGTGAACAATTAGACCCTAAATGTCAAACAATGATTAGACTTCCATGTCATATACTTATTAATACAATATCAAAGTCTTTGATTATGGATTAAATATGTGGAATAAAAAAAGGCATTTAAAAAGGGATGGGCCTTTGTGTGATACTCTAAGAACATCAGGGAAATGGTCATTTAAGTATTGATTAGTGCAAGCCAATACAGAGGTATTGCCTGTTAATGATCAATTCCAAGAGAAAATAAATCTTACCTCCAAGAACATTTAATATTCAGTGACATCAGTCTTAGTCGTCAACATTAGCTTTTCCAACACCAGAAATTCTGTCACTTGATATCTTCTGTTTTCCATGATGGGAATGCATGCCAAAATGATTGTTACATTTTTCAAAAATATATGTATTAAATAACTACTTAACTATCAACAGCCTAGAAAAATTATTAGGGGGGGCGCATTCTAGAAATCCTGCTCGTGATTGATGACTAAAGTGTAATTAAAACAAAGGTCTTGTTAATGTCCAAATGTGGCAAATAAACATATAGTTTACTACACCTCCACCTTCCGTGAACATGTTAAATACATTGAACACACCAGCCTCATCAAAGGTCCATTTCATTTCCTCAATTATTTGATTTAGCATGAAGCAACAAAAAGTATCAACAGCAGCAGTGAATAACTGAGGGCCTACTTGGGGAACCAGTTGAGACCCAGATGCTCTGTCTTGGAGAAGAGAATCCTGTCGTACAGCTCATACAGCGGTCTCCAGTTCAACTCAAGGTCCTCCCGTGACAGTAGCTCTCTTTTCCTGCAAGATAAATCAGACGTGCAGATAGATGAGAATAACACAAAGAGCCTAGGTTATCATACAGCATAACTTTCACAAAATTGATATCAGTGGTGAGGTTGCAGGATTTTTAGCATTTAACTTAGCTCTCACAGAAAACCATTAACACTAGATATTACATTTTGCTTTGTATTTAAAGTGCATATTTGCATTGTGTACACATAGAACAGTTGGGGCAGTCTTACTTGAGGAGGTTGATAAGAAGCCGAGCAAGGCCCTGCATCATGCTGATCTCCAGTTTGGGGATCGTCACTAGCTCGTAGAGCAACTTGATGAACAGCACATGGTCTTCTTTGCTGAACTTCCGCCCATACAGTCTCATATACCTAAATAAAAGATACATATTTAGGGATAATTGCTCCAGTTTGAACATGCATACGTTTTCAGTGACCCTGTGAGTAGCATGAACAACATTAACGTATGGTGCTTATGTTCCCTTGTGTGTAAAAACACACAAGTAGAATAAACAAGAGCAGGTTTTTAAACACAACTGAAGCTGCATAAACTGTGTTGAGACCTTTAAAAATGACTAATACATATTTCCATCACTGTTAAAATGCTAAAAAACTAGGGAACAGAATCTGGGTCAACTCAACAGTAAACTTTCCGTCTCTGAGCCGGCAGTGACTCACATGTGTACAGAGCATTGCACCAGCACTGGGGACTGAAAAGGATTAAAGACAGCACAGCAACCAAACACATTAATCCACAATCTAATGATGTACTGTAATATGCACAATATTTTATCTTCATCTTTATTATTCATTATTAAATACCTATTAGATCAATTCAAAAAGGTTGTAAGTTACACTATGTTGGGATAAGTTGTGTTTCATAAAGTAAGAATGAACAGTATGCCATGACTCATCTGTTTAGCATTTAGCATGTGAACAAATAACAAATAATGACCTCAACATTACACTGAATATCAAAACATGTGTGTTGTTTGAAGCAACTTCACAGGAAGCGAATGACTCCATAACATTAAAACGTGTTATTTATATTTGAGATTTTACATTTCCCCTCTGTGGGACAAATAAAGGTATCTGATTCTAAGATATTTTGTAAATTGTCTCCTGACCTTAAGAATAAATAAAAAATGTCAGTCATAACACAAGCACAACTTTAATAACAATAAGGTACATTATGCTATACTGTCTGTATCTGTTTAGTGTAAGTTGTTTGAAATGCATTTGTATGTCTGTATTGTATATCTATGTGCAGGATCCCAGGAAGATTAGACGCACCCATGTGCTCTAATGGGAATCCTTAAATAAACAACAAACAACAATACAGTGCCTGGGCCAGGTATATATGCTCTTTGATCTCACGGAGAGTGGCAAGTAGCTATTGCCTGAGATCCCAGGATGTGTTCTTATTACATGTGCCAAGTGCTAGGACTGTTTTAGGTACTAAAGCTTTTATGTGCGCTGCTCCTCTAGCTTGGAACACAATGCAAAAAACATTGGAACACTATGCAAAAAACATTGAAACACTATGCAAAAAACATTGAAACTGAGCATTTTGATTCCCTTGCATCATTTTTAAAGCACGGCTGGATGAATTGTTATTGGATACCTGTCACTGTAAATAGGTTGCTAATGTATACCCCTGTAATTATGTTGTGATGTCCTTTTGTTTTCTGTTGTTTTTATGTGTAACTAATGTACCGCAGGTCTTCCTTGAAAAAGAGATCGTTGATCTCAATGGGATTTTTTAACCTGGTTAAATAAAGGCTACAAACAAACAAACAGTGTATTTCACAAGGTTTCCCTCTAATTATGAAGCCCAGATCGTTTCTTTAAACAATGGGCAGTTGTAGTTTCAAGGCACAACATAACACGTTATCGAACATCTAGAGTTAACCCATAAACAACACATTCTTTTTACAGTTCGTGACTTTGACCAGAATGTAGTTGCAACAGGAACAAACGGTTAGGCAAGCAACACTTATATGTTCAATGTCAAAGACACATGTACACAGAGATATGTTGCACAATATGTTATGAAGCTCAAGATCAGAAGTTTTTTTTAATGTGTTACAAATACAACATTTAAGTGAGGGTACCGAAGATGAACGTTAGCTACTGTACTGCTACTTACGTGGAGAGTTTCCTTGTCCAAAACAGCACACCGGGCCATATCTCTCTGAGCTGTACAGCTCGGCACAAGTTTCCTTTTATTTTACTCAAAATATCATTTGATTCATCATCTAGCTTTTCTGCATAGGGCAGAAGTTTGTTGTATACGATGTCCTTTTGAGGAACAAACCCCAATGTGTCAGACTGCGCCTTTTTCATTTCACAAATTCCAACCGGCTAGCTTCACTATGCTAGCGAATCTTACTGTGTCTAAGTTCCTTCGGCTTTTCCGTGCACGTTTTTAAAATGCTACTTGGCTAATACGACGGCTAGCAATTTCCCTGCTAGCTACCTCTTAACGGTGAATCGTTAGGATTGTTATGGAGTGAATAAGTTGTGAGATTCACAAGTTGATGACACACTAGCTAGTCATCTAGCTAAAGTTAAGTTAGCTTCCTTATTAACAATAACATTAACAACGTCATATTTAAAAAAATCTTAAGGCTAACGAAAATCACGAGTTAGTCCAAATAATGCGTTGGCACTCGAATTCCTCTTTTTCGGTCAACGTAATCCTAAAACCTGACAACCAGCTAACGGTATAGCTAAAGTTAGCTCTACTACAAAAGCACAGTCATATCCCAAGGACTGTCAACGTCGACTGAATCATCCAACTACGGCAAAGCAGAGGGCAGACGACACCCGGCTACAAGCTACATAACACACCCGTCATATCCGCTAGCTACTGCCAAGAACTACACTTCCCAGCATTCCCCTCTCCATTCATGCTTTTTATAACGGCTTATCCTTTAGCCACTCAAACAGGACGACATGAAATCCACTTAAGACCTAGTATCCTCTGGTGTATTTCCTGCAGCCACTGCAGTAGCATTTATTTGCTGTTCGTATGCCGCATTAAGACAGTTATAAGCTCATGTAGGACATTTGTATTATTATTATTATATTTATGAATTAAGCAAGACAGTTTAGCAGTATTACTAGGTATATGATGAGGTATCTGATTGGACTTCTGCTCCAATGAGGTCCATGACCTCCAAAAATAGTTATGAGTTTAGTACATTAGGCATTTTTTTACATAATCAACTCAAATGCATTTTTTTGTTTTGATAATACGTTTATTGTTTAAATAGTGACAAACCAAAGTAAATGTAGACACCCCAGTTGTAGGCAGGCAATGGCTTGTTACAACTCTATTCTTTTTATATATTATTTTTGCACAATTGTGATTGAAGTAGGCTTACTGTATGCACTTATATTAACAGGCTTATTCATGGCACAGCATACTTTTAACATTTCAGTATTGTTTAAAGGTGGGGTAGGTAAGTTTGAGAAACCGGCTCGAGATCGCTAGAATTTGAAAATACACAACCGGAGAAAATCTGCCACTTCCTTATAGAGCCCCTCCTCCAACACACACGAACGCGCACATGACCAATGAGGGCACGAGATAAGTTTGTGCACAGATGGAAGGCTGACAGGCAGGTAGGCCATCCAGTTATTTTAGCCGGGCCGACTAAAATGATTGGTCGTACTTTTTACGGAATTACGGCTTCCACAGATGAAATTTTTGTATGGATTTTTTGTCAAAGCACTTAAGATATTCATTGCTATCGGGATGTTAAGAGCATTCCATGGAATATAACAAAAAGTGTATCTCGAGCCGGTTTCTCAAACTTACCTACCCCACCTTTAATGACTTGAAAATCACATTCATTTATAAATAAACCTAAAATTACAATTAAAAAAAAGAAGAAGTCCAATGTGGAACTTGCCAATGTTTAGTAGCCTACATATTGTGAATATATAGAAAATATATGCGAACAAAAATGCTGATAATACTAATGTTCATATTTGTTTCTTTCCATACAGTCCACTGATACAACGATTTGTAGTTCTTGCAATCTCCTGAGAAGTAACAGAGGGCACATGAGCACATACAGCGTTGAGTCCAGTAGAAGTGGTTGCCACTCTGTTCCCCCCTTCAACCAAACTCATTCAGAAGGGCATGGCAGCACAGGGTTAGGAAAAAGCACCTGTTATTGATTGCCACGACATCAGTGTCTGCTGTACGTATGATGACCCTCTTCCTCTTGTTCTAAACTGCACACATGACAGAAAAACACATGTTTGTTAACCTCCATTTGCAATACTAGGGATGTGTTTTCTAGTTGCCTGGGCCAAGTTTGTAGGCAAACCTGATTTGTAGTTCAGATGCTTCCAGAATTTAGCATCTGAACAGCAAATACAACTAGAGAATGCAATTCCTGAAGAAATTGCTAGTGGGAATGCTTTATGCTGAAAAGCTGACGCTAAACTGCTATGCTGAAATGTAATGTGTAAGAAGAAAGTGAAGAATTTAGATTGAAATGATACATGAACACTGGGGGCTTGAATGTGTGATGAGAAAAGAAAATAAAGTAAAAAGGCTTGGAAAAGCAGCAGAATATTTGAACTGCAAACTTTTGAACTATCTTGATGGCGAATGATCTGTCGCCATGCCAACAGCATTTGATGACATCCCATAATACGCTTAGATTGAACAGGCTGTTGTCCATCATGGATAACCCCACCCATCCTCTCCACCTGCAGCTGGACAGTCAACGGAGCTCCTTCTCCAACAGAATGCTGCAGCTCCCCTGTCACAAGGACAGATACTGGAAAACATTCCTGCCCACTGCAATATCACTGTACAACAAATCACCTCTGGCTGGAAGAGAACTCTCTGCTCCATAGTTTCTCTAGAAATAAAACCACCTTGTACATTTTACTCACACATAATCTGTTTCATATTTAATACTCCATAATTCCATATATTTTGAATATATATATATTTGTATATATATATATATATATATATATAATATCTGTATGTATATTTTCTATTTTGTATTTTGACATGTATATTTTATATTTTATTTTATATTTTATTTTATTTTATTTCTATTCTTGTATATTTTGTTTTATTGTAAAATGCCTTTATGCTGCTGTAACAAAAACAATTTCCCAATTTGGGATCAATAAAGTACGATCTATCTATCTATCTCTAGATGCGTTGATGGCTGCATCGTTACCAAACCTGTGAAGTTTTGGGCCGTTTGGAGCATTTTCACTAAAGTTATGAAAAAACCGTGTTTCATGGTGAGCATTGTGTTGCCATGGCAACGGCAATTGAAGAAATCGTAGATGTTTTTTTTGTAGATGTCTTCACGGCTGGACTGTTAGCACACATGTGAAGTTTGAGCGCTTTTTTAACATTTTCATAGGAGTTATAGCGACATCGTCTTTTATGGCGAGGGATGCGTTTCCATGGAAACGGCATATGGTGAGATGTCAGATTTGACGTAGAGCTGTTGAGGCATGGAGAGGTGATATACAGGTGAAGATTGTGGGACGACCGGACCGTTTCCATTGGAGCTACAGCGACATCGTGTTTTATGGTGAGGGATGCGTTTCCATGGCAACAGCCTATGGTGAGATCTCAGATTTGGCGTAAAGCTGTTGAGGCATGGACCGGTGATATACAAGCGAAGTTTGGGGGACATTCGGACCGTGTCCATTGGAGTTACAGCGACATCGTGTTTTATGGCGAGGGATGCGTTTCCATGGAAACGGCATATGAAGACACCCCATAATTGACGTAGAGCTGTTGAGGGCAGGACCATTAACCATTATCTGAAGTCTGCTGCTGTTTTATGGCGAGGGATGCGTTGCCATAGTAACACCACATTACGTAACATCAGATTTGATGTAGAGCTGTGTGATCTGAAATCTGCTGCTCTGAGCATGTCAGTTGGAGTTATGACATCATCGTGTTCCATGACACAGGTGTTTATATTTGAGCTAACGACGTGTCCGGAGATCAAAGGTTTCCATGGTGATGTGCAGTAATCAGTGAGAGGAGAGCATTTTCATTGTTCTGAATGAGAGATAAACCTCTTACATGTGAACGTTTTGTTGACGAACCGTAACAGATATCGGTGAAATTTCAAAGCGTGAAGCATGTCAAGGAACTTGAGCATCTGAAGTGTACTTGTTGTGTACTTTGGGGTTAATAATGTGGCCTTTTTGGCAGATTAACTAAAGGTGTGCGGCTGCTGTGGTGGGGAAAGATGAGGCTGAATTTACAATGGGGTTTAATGGAGACATGTTGAAAGTTCTTGTCACTTCATGCCCTCAAGAGGCATTTTGTTTAATTATTTTGCTTAATTATTTTTTATTTTTCAAGCTACGAGATGTTTTCCTACATTTCTCATGAAGAATTATGTCTCAGGAATGTAGGGTTTGGGAATTATGGCAGGTTTAAAAGAAAATATGAAGGCAAAATTCAATCTGTCCTCCACTCTAGCTGTGACATCACGCACTCTAAAATCTGAAGAGGGCCTCTTTACCAAGGTCTGAACAATGTTTAAAATCTCTAAAAGTATGAATCAGATTTAAAAGTTGTGTTACACGAATAATGTCAGAAAGATGTGTAACATTTTAAAGTTGGAATTAGGTTTCTGAGTGAAAGTATGAAGTCGCAGTAAGCAGTTGAAGTCGCATGAAGATTTTTCAAGTCTGAAGAGTTTCTCCATTGACTTCCATGTTCAAAATTTGATGAATTATGGGATGTATCTCTGGAATTATGAAGTTATGAATGAGAAAAGTATTAGCCATCGATTCCCGACCGAGCTGAACGTTTTGATGTTTGAACGGAGTTTCTGCGATGTGGAATGTGGGAGCAGAAGAGGCGCAAAATAACCCGGCAGAATAATAAAGAATTTCGTGCGTAGAAGAACAGATAGTGGGAATGCTGTATCAGCATTCCCACTAAATAATGAGGACCACAGCATCCACTATGGTGATGCTTGAGATCTAGTCTCAACCTGTTCGATACAGTTTAAGAATCTGACTTTGCTCCCAGTCTTATTTTGCCTCCCTTGTACAAAGATAGAGGAGTCTTTCACAATACCTTCACATGTTTGACACTTAAAGACGTGAGAAGAGATTACAATCATTCTTCATTGCTGAAAGTTGCATCAGTGTAGCATATGAGCCCTCTCCCTTTTCTAGTCATAACATCCAGTGGAATATTTCCCAGCTGCTGAGCTTGGAGGGGGCTCTGCCAATTTTGCATATCCCTTTCTGACGAGTGTGTTGGTTAATCTGGCTAGGCATTGCAACACTTCCCAGCTTTCATTTTGACAAAGAACATAAAGCTCCAAGTTAGTTATAGCAGGTAGCCTACTTTGGGTTGCTTGAAAAATCATTTATTGATCTACAACATTAAACACCTCAACATATTGAGGAAATTACCCCAGCACCAAGAGAGGAAGGAGAATACTGTCAGACATTATATGTTGTATGTGGTCCATTTGCAACCACCACCAAACACAAGACAGTTTCCAAGGAAAAGGAAGAATGGGCTGGTTTAACCTATTCAGTGTAGGGATTTCCAAAAGTAAAACATGTATTGTTGTTTTTAATCTCATCCAGTCATTGATTTGCAAGTTGTGATTGAATTAATTAGAAGTATACTATTTGTATATTGTGTTGTTAAAATATAGCCTACTACTTTACAACATGTCTTGAAGCAGGGCCTGTCAGTACTTCCTAAGGCCCTAAGGTGAGCAGTGATCGCCATCTTGTGGTCAAACGAAGAGGTACAAAAAGGAAGC